CACTTGGAGAGAAGGGTTTGCACGCCCGACAAGTTGCAGAGATTTGTGAAAGAGACAACGAGACCGTCGGAGACTTGGTCACTGTGAAGACTACAGGGCATCAAAAACAAGTGGCAGGTGAATCGCTCGGACGTGTCTTCTTTCCATGGGTGAGCTTTCCAACCCTATCTCGTTCCGCCAGAAGCTACGGCAGCCCACTGGGGACAAAGGAGTTCGACATGCCCAATGCTGTGATCCACTTTGCCCTCAAGTTCGCTGAAGAGTATGCCATGGACTTGCCGTGCTTTCGGCGGTATCACGCTTTCAAAGCTGAATGGCGCCAAGTGGTGATGTCTTGGTTCTCCTTCTCAGAGCATGATGCCAAAAAGGCGCTCCTCATGGCCTCTTTTGGCTTTGCATTTCCATCTCGCGCGAGCGGTTCACCTGTGGCCTGTCCCTTGTTGGAGGGCCTCGCTGCAGATGCCATGAAGTTGCGGGAGGTGCTTTGTCAAAAATTCCCCTCGGTAGTTCAAGACGTGAAAGCAGCAAAGCGCCCGCGGCCCGAAACTTCCGCCATGGCTTTCTTGCTTTTTGACAAGGAACACAAAGCAATGCAGCTGTTCTGCGGCCTCCTGCCCAAACATGGCTTCGCTCTAGTTGCACCAGTCTTTGACGCAGTGCTTGCTGTCCCGCAAGCGAATCTGAGCATGCCAGGTGAAGAAGTAGATTCAGCAGCAAGTGAACAGGCTTTGCTGGAAGATTTCCACAGTCAGACTGGAATCATGATGCAGGTCAAACCACTGGACAGAAGCCCGCCCATGCTCACAGTGCAGCAAATCCTGGAATCCATTTTGGAAAACAATGCTGGGATCAGGATGGGCGCGATCCATCACATTCCTGGGTGTTACTCCTGTATCGGCACTGCTCTCTTGAATTTGTTCCCCGAGGAGGCTGACCCTTTGAAGGCCGCAACATCCAACTTGCCAGAGCCTATGTCCTACCAGCACATGATGCAGCTTTGTCCTCAATTTTCCATAGAGCCTGTGTCCTTGTCTCAAGCAGAGCAGTGCGGCGATGGAATGTGTTTCTTGCTACATGCATCGAGCTCATCAGCCAAGGATTGTGGCCATGCATACGGACTGAAGCTGGTCCAGGAAGCTGCTCACATTTACAGCTCCGCCGAGGAAGAATGCATCCAAACCAATGCAAAAAAGTTGTGGAAGCACTTGTCGAAAGCTCACGGGACGCAGGTTTTCCAAGTCAATGTGCTCTCCGCAGACGATCGCGCGGCCAAGAGGAGGAGAAAGGAAGCACCTTCGACTTGCCTGGAAGTCCAACTGAAAGCAGGAATGGAGGCCGAGGAGGGCTGGAGCTCCGTGGCGCCACAAGTTCGCGCCTGCATGGAAAGAGAAGTATTGCAAGAGATTACCCGTCTGGGCCTCAGTCAGTGATCGCCGCCCAAGTGCGAGCGGGACGAATGAAACGTGATGTGTTTTTTTGGCTTTCTATTGCATGGGAACAGGGGTGTGCCTTGCTGGCTGACATGTGCACACATGTTTGGACAGCGCAACAAACACACTTCTAGCGCAACTGAGCCAACTGACTTTCAGCGTGACCTTGGCGCTAAGACCTGCCCGTGCCCAGGTCTCAAAAATCAAGCCGGCTGCTCCAACCCGGACGCCTCAGAGGCAACTTACAAGTGCATCCTGTGCCCCTTCCGATCGTTCAGCAGGAGGTCCTCCTTGCTCACGCATGTCGAAAAGTACCACAAAGCAGAGAAGAACTTTGTCACTGTCAAGCAGCAGTTTGCTGTGGCGTGCGCTATCTTTGAACAGAAGCAGGCAGGGCCCAAGGGTCGGAGAGTTTGTGTCCTCTCGTATTCTGATCGCATGTATAAAGTATCATGCATATACCCCTGCGAGGCTTTGAGTCCTTTGGCTGCGCGTCCTGCCGGCACGGACACCCTGCTTTCCCAAGCTGCCATGTGCATGCGAGATTGGGTCTCTTTGGACGCAGCTTCCCTTCACTTTGTGTCGAAGCAGAATACGGTCGACATGGCTTTGCTTCTGACCCGCGCTGGGCCGAAGTATGTCCTCAAGCAGCATACAGCCCAGGCACTCCGAATCAACAAGATGCTCTACATTAGCAATGACTTTGCGGACTTGGTGTTGGCCAAAGCCATCAAGCACAGAGGCAAGATCCACAGCATGTTCAATGACATCACTACTGAGTGGGTTTGTCAAGGTAGTCCTTGTGCTTGGCTTGGGTGTCGCCGAGGGGACACACGCCAGGCCGTCTTTGAGCAGGTCATGGCTTTGAAGCCTGTGCAGGCCCTGCGAACTGCTTTGATAGCAACTGCCACCGTGCATGCGGAGTGGGTGGTTTGCAGTCATGATGCGACCTACCAAGTCCTTTTCAGCGCCATCGGACAAATGCCCATGCAGCAGAAAGAAGGAGAATTCCATGCTTTGCATACCTTCCTTGGCCGGTCTGGAGCTGTCCCTGGTTTCAGCCTCCAGCGCACAGAAGGTCCGGATAGTTTCCGCTCTGCTGTAGCCCAGGTGCTCCCACATGATGCCCGCATGACAGTGAAGTATATGTTCTCTGACAATCCTGCTTCCGTGGAAGGTTCCACTGATGTCTTGCCAAACCTGGAAGCTGTTGCAGAAGATGCCTTGCACTTGGTGTTGCGAGTGGAAGCTTGCACTGGTGAGAAGCGGACGGCCTTGTCATCGAACCTACTCCGGATTATGCTGCGCTTTCGCTTGCCATGTGCTGGATCCTTCTTCCATGGTGGCACTGATGGAGATGATGAGCATGATGCAGGACAGTGGTCAGATGGAGTTGCCAAAGATGGTGTGCCAGCGGACTGGGATTGGGATGCCCGGGTGACAAAGCCGTACTCCGGCCACCAGGAATTCATCAATGACATCGAAGTGCTTTGTGCCCAACACTTGGACCAAATGAAGCGAAAGGATAAGAAGGGGCGTACAATCCAGCAGGTCTTGAAAGCCGGCACGTCTTACACGCACTTCAGGTACCTGTGGAACGGTTCCCACATCATAGCAGCCCTTCACCAAGCCATGCCCCCGAAGGAAGTGGAGCTCCTTAGCTTTGGCACGTGCAGCAATGAAGCTTTGCACTTTCAGCTCAAAGTCTGTCAAGAGCAAATCATCCAGCAGCACATCCAAACATTTCCTCCGCAGTTGGAAGCATTTAGCTTAGCAAAGCTCTTGGCGCATCATTCGGCCGCTTACTCTCCAACCTTGGCACAAAGAAAAGAATCTGAGATCTTAAGCCTCATGCAAGGTTGGCTGACCAAAGGCTTTCTCCCGCCGCTTGAAGAGGGGCGCATCCAGCCAACACTTTCCAGAGAGGACTTGCGCAGACCTGTGCATCAATTGGACCCGCAGAAGGTGGCCATCAGAAAGGACAAGGCAAGGGAGAAAGCAAAGCAATGGAGCAAGGAAGTCCAGAACAGGAAGCTCAAGCATCCGCAAAGCCGTCTGCAAAAGCCCGTCTGCAAACGCACCGTCTTTACCCAGAAGAAGCTTCTTGACTGCAAACATCCACATGTAGGCTTTGTTGCGCAAGCTGAGCAACAATTAGTGCATGGTACACATGCGGCAGATCAAAGTTCTGTAGCGCTACAACACCCAACGATGGTCAAACTTAGGGCTTTGTCCAACCAGCTATTTCTCCTCTGAATTCCTTATTCGAAACTGCGCTAACCTTCAAGGAAGGCATCCCAACCATTTGTTTTACCATGCGTTCCTTTTGCCAACCCGCCAACGCATGCGCTGCGCAGTGCGAGTCCGCCGCACTTGAAGCTACGCCTGCCGACCTTCTGAATAATGCAAAGCTCCGGACTAAATTCGAATGTGCGCAATTTGCTGCATCCCACTTATACCGCGACAGCTGCCTCGCCTTTTTGGTTGCAAGGTGCTTCACAGCTGCTGCATTGGCATCGCGCATGCATTATCTGCTGGCCATTTTGTGCCCCAATCACATGCTGTTGTCTTCACGTGTGACATTGCCATTCATGTCCAGACTGCTTACCCCCACCCAGTAAACTCCTCTAGCTTGCTGGTTAGTTGCCTGCGTGCGCAAACAGTTGCAAGTATAAACTTGTGATGCAGCCGGCGTTTTGTGGTCATTTGAAGGCCGAGACTCCGACCTTGTTTCTTTTTAAACATGTTTTTCCACATAGAAAGCGTGCAATCCTACCCTGACCACTATAGCCGTTGTTGTCCATGTAGCTCCCCAGAAGCTCCAGGTATCCAGGGTCGACGGCCCCATTATTCTACCATGCACGATGCTTTTGGCCGCGTAATTCTAAAACAATCTCAGACACACCTGCCATCGATCGGTGGCGCAGGAACCAGAAGCCAATCGTCTAATCGCAAGTTGAAGCACGATTTTAAGGTGACAACAGATGCAACACATCACTTGTTGAGTACGTTGCGTTCTAACGATTGGTGTGATTGTCCTGCTCGCTTGGATTAAATACCGGAACGACCTTGCGCAATGCCCAGGCGGCCAAGTCGTCGCGCAGCAGTGCCTGCTGATGTGGCATCCTCTGCAGACGCGCCGCTTTGAGGTGCGCAGCCACGTGGGAGAAAGTGGAGAGGCATGTTGGAATAATCCTACATGTCTTTGGGGCGTTACAATCTCAGCCATGGTTTGTGAACAACATTCATGTCTTACACTGTACACGTCTACAGGCAGGTGGGTTGCAACATGTAAAGTTTCTGTAAAGCATGGTTTTTAGTCTGCTTCTGGGTGCAAGCGGATGCAGAGAATATGGAGCGCCGAACCTGTGGATCAGTGGCATCTTTCCATTGCCTCGCTCGTTGGGGGCACATAGTGCCATTTATGAGTTCCATGCCGGTGCGTTAAAGACGGTCGCAAACATGAGTATACATGTGATTGGGAACCGATCCAGTCTTCATGTCACATGGCCAACCGTCATTGGTGGCCACACCGGAACGGATATAGGTGTGATGTGTGGTTCGAAACTTGAACGACGATCGAAGTCAAATATTGAATTTTTGTTCCTCGTGCCTATCAGCGAACTCGATGTTGCAGTGGCAGTGCGTGCCTTCAAGTCATCAGAGAATTCATTGTCATCGGCCAGGCCCCGGTGGAGCTGAGTGTGCTGTGCAAGAAATTCGTACTGCGCCCGTGTGCCACCATGACTTCCTTCATGGTGATTCGCGCACAGCGCTAAGCGGTTTTATGAGAATGGCCCCGGACCCTGTGTGCGGATGTTGCAATAAGCTGCAGTCCCGAACTCATTTTCAATAGAAGATTTCAAGTTTCAGTGTTCAAATCCATGTGTTGAAAGTAATAACGTTTTTCACAAGGTCCACGTTCCTGCCCGCCGGCATTGTGTTGGTATAGCCCCGAAACAAATTACATTGTTCGCGCAGGGTACGGGCCCAAATCAAACCTGCCGTGAAGCCACTGTACGTCATAACAACCCGGACCTTCCTGAGTTCAAGGCTGTGGTCATTTTTTTTGTCGACGCGATCGTTTAATGTATTCATGTTTCGCCGTGTGGTTTCAAATTAGATGTCACATGACAATCTGCAAGCTCTCTGTGTACGCCGGCCGTCAAGGGTCCATAAGTCTATGGGTAGCGACCTTTGACACACTATTTTCCAACATTTTTCAAGTCAGTCATAAAGTTTTGTGGCTCCATGTGCGATATTCACAGAGGGGCTTCTGATGTCACCAAATTAGTTTGGACATCTGCTCGACCAGGCTGTCCTGCTAACAATCAGATGCAGGCGCCTAGAGCACCAAGAAGGAAACACGAAGCCAGAAAAAATGACGCAAGCTAACTTTCTACAAACCAAAGGTTTTTCCTGAAACTCACGATTTCCGTCGCGCAAATTCCACTATCGATGCTGAGGGTAAGACGTATAGAAGCAGGCCCTAATACATTCAAGGAGGTCAGTAGGTAGTCAGATCGATACAGACGGACATGCAAAAGCTTGGTAGGTAAGGAGACAGAAGAACATTTAGACCTGTGGATGAGATCATGACAACAAGTATGTCATCATTCGGCCATATCATGTGATCCCAAGACATGCGCTTGCAAAGGCTACGACACGGAATGTTCAGCGCAAGATCTTTTCAGAACATGTGCAACAGAACGTGTTTGAGATATGTCGCAGAAGTTCACACAGCATGGGCTTTGGAGGTTTTGTCAGCGCAACCATGTCAGATTTTCTCGTTGTGTTCAGTTGAACCCGGGCATGCGCAATACATCCATGTGTATACATACACATCTGCAGTGCATATGAATACTTTTTGTAAATATATGTACATTGAAATATATGCACATATGTCGTTCAATGTCCACGTATAGGTACTTACTTGTTTATACTTTACACACGCGTTCATGTGAACCGAATTACAAAGAGAAACCTGCAATGCGTCTGTCAGATGATGTTAACTCTGGCGTTTGCAGGTGACTGGAAGACATCTCTGTGTTTTGCCGGAACGTGCATTTTTTTGTGATACGTGGTTATCCGTTCATAGATACATAGCCGCAGGTAAGATGTACGTATGTGTGTGTACATATTTCCATATTAACATACATGTAGATATAGATAGTGCAATTCTATGTACAAAATGAAAGCAAAATGGAGCCGCAAAATGGACGCCAAGCGTCAAAGGCACGGCCCCCCCCCCCAGGTAAACCTGTAACCTTTTACGAGTGCCATCCGGACGATCACGCCCCAGCACCTTCGGTGCGGGCGGATTTTGTTTTACGTGTCTACACAATGCTTTCATGCATGTTGACATGTACACTTAATTCATATCTTTCATGCGCACTCCGCATGGCTCAAGACTAGCAGCAATTCCGCAGCATAGTAAAAAGGTGTGCAGTCGCCTTCGCTTGCCACAGGTGTTGTAGATTCTGTTCCAGGGCTCCCTCAAAGGGGAAAGCTACCTCAAAGTGGTAGCGGAGCCTGTGCCTTCGCCAAGTCTAGATCAGTGTGCCGAACTGTTGTTCTTTGCATACATTCCGTATATCGGACTTGCGAAGGCAACCTGTAGGTCAAGTTTGAGTAGCTGCCATGGTCTTAATCCACAACATGGATTCGGACGAAGAACAACTCCAGATTGTCTCGTATGAAGAGCCGGAAGCATATGCCGCCACCAGTCATTCCGAAAACCGGATGGGCATCAAAATGACACCAAAGGTTCCACCCCAATTTGATGGCCAATCAAGCTGGTTTGAATATGAAGATTTAATTGATGACTGGTTAGGGATTACAACATTGGATGCAGATAAACACGGACCATCATTAAAGAATGCCCTCATTGGTTCCGCTTCTTTTTATAAGTCGATGCTCGACAATGCCCTACTCCGAGATCCGGATCGTGGCCTCGCCCATTTCAAGGACACATTGAGACCATATTTCGTGAAGGGAGTAAATCATGTGTTCCTTTGGCGATTCCTTCAGATGTTTCGCACATACCGAGGCCAGAGTGAATTCGTGCACTGGATAGGGCGATTTGAGATTGCACAGAAGCGTTTGTTGGCTTCTTGGTCCGATCTGCTGGACATATCCGATCTTCCCGACGCCGGCACACCGGCTTTCACGGCAGCACTCGGAGATGAGCAGAGACTGCACTATAACCAAATAGCAGCAGATGAAGATAAGCTAGCTTATCAACAAGAGCTCCGAGAGCAGACCATAACCAATAGAAGGACCAGACATGCACAGCAGTTTCCGTTGTCAGACAATTTGATGTCACTGATTTTTCTAGTCCAAGCAGACCTCAACGAACAACAACGTGAGCGTTTTGTTTCGTCAATGAACATCCGTCAGATTGCAATGCCTCAGTATACCTATCTCCAAGTGAAACAACTGTTCTTAGAACTCTTTGCCGTTTCTCGCACAGGTGTTGCCGACCCAAACATCACGCACCGCAAGCGGTCCAACTTCTACGTCATCGACGAGGGCGAGGCCGAAGAAGGTGAGTACGGATTTTGGGTCTTTGATGAGGAGACGGGTGAAGAAGGTTTCACAGGTCTGTACACAGAGAACGAATTCTGGGTTCTCAGCGCAAAGGGTTCATACTCTAAGCGCCGTATCTACGGCAGGTCCTTCAAGAGGGAAAGAGCAAACACCAACACGACACACTTAGCCCGAAACGGGCAAAACCCCGAAAAGGCAAGGGAAAAGAAAAGCGGAGGCCGACGGAAAACGGAACAAGACCAGCGGAGGAGGGGGAAGACAGAAGCGCCTGAATCAACCTGACACGGCGAAAACCTACATCAACCTAAGCACGCAACCCTACCTGGAGAGAGGAGAACGCAAGAACACATGAAAAAGGGACCCATGTGGAACTAGTTTATGACATGATGCATCCACATAGACGTGCAGTTTCCCCTCGTTAGGCTCAATGGCCAGAATTCAAGTCACAACCCTCTGGACAGCTGACGTGTTCAACCCCTAAATTAGGTGCACAATTTCAACTTCACCAAGAAACCAAAAGGAAGTGACCACACCTGTAAAGCATGTCCTGTTGCCTGGAAAGTCATGTGAAAATGGCTGCGGGCAGTCTCTTGAGATAACAGAAGGATTGTTAGCGTGGCAGCAGGCTATGCGTTTCAGCAAAACAGAAAGGAGATGCCAGGCACTGCGGCACACTGTTCAACACATCGACATCGACAAGTGAGACC